TAGATTTGTGCCTTAAAATACCAGGGTCAATGCAGTCTTTATTTAGTGGGTCAGGAGCTAAATGGTCTTAATTGCCATGTGCAAAGCAAGTTGTTTGGAAAAAGAAACTCTGACTAGCTTTCTTAGCTCCTCTCCCAGTTTATCTCGTGTGTGTGTGTGTGTGTGTGTGTGTGTGTGTGTGTGTGTGTGTGTGTGTATATAGGAAGGAGCTTGGGGGAAGGTTGCTCTGTGTATGTTCCATTGTTTTTAGCACTGCATCTCATCATTGTCCTTTATTACTAACATCTCTGATTTCTCCATCTTTCCAGTTTTATGAGCTGATCAGCTCTTCGTCACCAGTTCTGGCAATAAGCTTCTTCACTCGCTCGACTTTTTTTTAACATCCATCTTTTGTCTTCCAAATATCTTTTTTGAAGTCCTGCATTCGTCGCCGTCATGTCCTTGATATTGTGGGCTTATTTTATTTTTACTTTTTAAATTATTGTAAGGAGTAGAGGGAGAGGAAATATGCATACATGTTTAATCTCTCATCTTGACTTGTAAACTTCCAAAAGATACTAAATGTTACGAGTATGGTGAGAAGCCATGCTTTGAATCAAATTTAATTTTTTTTAAATTTCACGTAAGGAAATCCCTTAGTTTTCACTTCTTGCAGGGGAGATGTAGTGGGAACAAGTGTAAGTATGTATAAATGCCACCTTTTTTATCCCAGCAGAGGGTTTGTATATTATATGAGTCTATGCTTTTCTAGTAACAATACTGAGTATAGTTCAGTGACGTGGAGGCTACAGGGCTCAATAAGATACCAATGGTGACTAATTAAAGTATAAGCTATATCAGAACAGATGCTCAGAGATGTTATTTAAAGTCTGATTTCTTGCTTCTGTCTAGATAATAACAGTAAGAATATTAACCAGCATGCAGTGAGCACTTAGGTGTGTGACACTGTTCTCAACACTTTCCTCAAGTCTCCCACAGTACTTATATACGTAGGTGCTAGTATCATCCTTCCCATTTTATAGAAGACAAAACAAAGATAATTACTCAACAGCACACAGGTAGTAAGTGACAGACCCAACGTGTATACCCAAAGAACTATTCTGTAAGTTGCAGAGTTCCTCTAAGACTCTCTGTGTGTGTGTGTGTGTGTGTGTGTGTGTGTGTGTAATATATGTGCTACAATATCTCAAAATGCTTTTAGATAAGGGTGAGTGGTAAACTGTCTCTCCAGGTGAAAAAAAAAAGAAACCCCGATTTGCAGTGTTTGCTGACATGTATTGTGTAAATACTTCCACCTTGGCTAATTTCAAGGCTTTAACGATTTAACAATTGGCACTGCTGGCAAAAGCAGATTCTAATATAACACTACTTTAGCCTCATTAGATCTAAATTGAGTGAGCTTGGATTGTCTGAAAATACTTTTATTCTGAACGCTTTACTTTAATTTTCAATTGGCTTTAATTACAATGAGCAGAACAAGAAAGGAAGACAGATGATGTTGGTTTTATTTAGGAATGGAAAAAAGTATTTTGACATTTATGGTGCTTAAGGATTTTGCACAAGTTTGTAAGAGAGATAGATTGCCAGCAATTGGAAAGGAGTTTGTTTTTCTACATCTACTCTAATATCTGATTTTCTCATAAATATTTTGTCACCATCCACATTATAGAAACCAATTTCAATTAAAGAAAATAAGCAACAACATTGAAGGCACAGCATAGAACAACCACAAGTTTAAATGAGTCCACCAATTCTTTAGTTGCTGTCCATGCATTAGAACTATAAATACTTTCTAGTCCTTTAACTCAGAAGCAAATAGGTTGATCATAGCAACTTTAAATCCATTATATGCATTTCAAATGTGACAATGGATCGATCTTTCTTCCGCTGGGTATACTTTCTCCAAATACTGAAATATGACCCTGCTTTACTGATTGGCCCTGGGTTGTGTGAGAAATTATCTACCATATAGTACACATGAGCCACAATTTGTGCTTTTTTTGTAGACCTCATTATCTCATCTTTTTTGACTTCATGCACTTAAAGTATTCTGAGTAAGACATAAACAACATAATACTCAGGAAAACAAGCATAAAATTTAAATATGCCCTTTCAGAAGCTTTTTAAAAGATCTGGGAATCTTTTTTAAAAGACCCATAAGATGACATCAATTGGTCTTAGTTTATCTTCATAATTAGCACCCAATTAAGATATCTATTTACGTCACAAGCTTTAACACAAAAGGATTTAATTAAACTATTAAGATATTAAACGGGTTCAATTATATCCTTAGCTTCAATCACCAAACATCTGATGTAATGACAATTTAAAAAGAAGTTAAACAATTAAAAATTAGGGACTTTAAAGGCATATTTCAGTCTGTGTGTAATATTGCAATTAAAAACACATCATGCATGGGCCTCTCTGCAGCATGAGTTGGATTCCCCCGCCGGCCAGGGAGCAACTCACATGGGGCAGCAGACCTCTCCTGACTCGCCCCACTGATCCCCTCAGCAGTGTATTTCACTCAGTCTGCCTGGTGGATTCTTTCACACACACACACACACACACACCCCCACCCCGCCCCGCACCTCTGGCCTGGGGTATTTAATATATGAATAAATAAATCAATCTTTAAAAAAAAAAACACATAATGTATATTATTTGCCTCCTGAAACCAACAAAAGAATCACTTAGGTGAATGCTGGCATTGGAAATAGGTTTGTTTATTATGTGTGTATGTGTGTGCTTGTATCATACATGTATATTTGTAACCACTTTAGGACAGAACAGTTGGAAAAGGTGGAAGTAAAACCAAGAACTGCTTGAAATACCTACCCATTATTTGGTATGCTTTATTAGTGCAAACTGTTAAAATTTGAATTCATTACCGGCTCATTTATTCAAAGGAATGAGGTTCACATTTTCTGTGTTTTAGACAGGATCCCTGGATAAGAGTAAGGATCTTTTAGAAATTTTATTGTAATTAATTCAACTTTCATGTGTGAACAATCTCGGAGGGTTGTCCTTAGCTTTTGTTAAACCATTCTTCAGACTTGGTGCTTGTAAAACAGCAGTGTTTCTTCATGTCTTCAAATTATCTGCAGATCTACCATGCTTGACCCATATACTAGGGATGGTGAACAATAACAAAAACTAGGGGGTTTCTTATTAATGACCGTTGAGCTTCAAAAGCATCTAGTGAGAGCTGGCGCCCCCTAGAGGCTGACAAGTTACCCCGCCGCAGCTCAAAAGCCGGCAAAGCCAAGTCACACCTGGTCAGAGACAAAGGCTCTGCCCATGCAGAGCACAGCAAACAGGATGAGCTTTGCATCCAGATCCTGGCAAGGTCCTGTGAGGGTTCAGAGACAAGGGCTCAAGTGGATTTTGCACACAATGAGTTTGCATCCCAGCTAAAGAACCCCCAATCTCTTGTCAGGGGAAACGATGTGCCTCAAGGGGAAACACTGTTATTAATATACTGGACAGTAAACAAAGGGCCCCTTGGGAAGGAGGCACTAGCTCAGTCTGCAAGGTGTTTTGCTACAGAAACATTCTTGAAGATAATCTAGAACAAAACCCAGCGCCACACATGTCTTTTGGATTGCAGCTACTGGGTGTAAAATAGCTAATTCAGGACAACAGTTATTGCCTTGCTCAGTGGCTTCTGGCAGAATTAAGTGAGATAAGCCAAGAAAAAATGCTTATTATTAAATAGTCTATCCGCGCAGGCTGTTATTGTTATGTGATACCCTAGCACATACTCAGATGTAAGACCTTTAATACTGGAACTTCTCTCTCCATTAAAAAAAGATGATTTTTGACTTTAATAAATTTCATTTTCTAGAGTAGTTTTAGGTTCACAGTAAACTGAGCAGAACTTCCCTGAATACCTGAAGCTTTCACACATGCATAGTTGCCCCTGCTCTCAAATTCACGAACAAGACCACGCTGGATATTTACTGATACTGCTAATTGCAATCACCAACTTCTGCACAAAAGATCAATAAAAGCACAGTATAGATCAAGTTCCCTAATCATTTTTAGAAGAAATTATCAGTACTAAAAATTAGTAGTTAAAAAATTTTGGGGGTTAACCTTCATAGGCCGAGTCCCGTCAGAGGATAAAACAGAACAGATACTCAAAGTAATTTGCTCATCAGAAGATTGCCCATGTTCTCTAATACGCACGAAACAAAAAGCACCTTTATTAGCAGCAGTCTTTTCTCTTAACCCAGTAGGGAGCAATATCTAAAACTGATAATCAGTGGTAAGAGATGTAGCACTGTAACACTTAAAATTCAACCAGGACTAATCATATTGTGATTCATTATTACTTTTGGCTTTGAGTTTAAAAACCCTGGAAACTGGGCCTCCCCGGTGGTGCAGCGGTTGAGCGCTGGGTTGCGAAGCTGCCTGCAGCCTCTGAGGCACCAGTTCAATCCCCAGCTGCTCCCCGGCCACGGAGGAGGGTCCCACATGGCGCGCAGACCTCTCCTGCCGCCCGCTGCTCCCTCAGCAGTGTGCTTCGGTCCTTCTGCCTGTTCTGCTCCCCGCTCTGGCTCTGGTGAATTCTCTCACCCTCCCGTGCTTCTGACTGTACCCAGTGCTTGTATAAATAAAAATAAATAAATCTTTAAAAAAAAAATGGAAACTCCATTGTAAGTATCCAAATATACGTTATTTCTTTGGGTTTTCATTATCACTATGGAAATAAATCCCCAAAGTTGCATTTTCTTGAAACATTGGTCAGACATCCCACTATCACTTAAAATTGAAACATACACAAAATACACACACACGTACAAATTCATTCCAGGGTCCACACACAAAGCTTAAAAAAAAAAAAATAGGAACCCAAAAATTTCAAATACAGAAAATAAAAGTGCTATTTCAGCATCCCTTTATTTTTGTGCTGATTTTACACAAAAAATTCAGGACATGTGAGGCACACTACATGACAATAGTGGGTAACCTTTTCAGTGTTTGTTTCTTTCTTCTTTAAATATAGACGCTGACAGAAAAGATGGATTAGATGCAGTCTACTTTTTCCTCAGTTGGCTGGATTTTTTGCGAATTATAAACCATGAAACTAAACTGAGTAAATGTTGGAAGTTTATTGCAAGCAGCACCTAGGGCCGAGAAAAGGGAAAGTGTTTGGTTAAATACAGAACCCATGTATTTATAGCCAACACAGACCTGGCTTACGGCCTGGATACTGGCTACTGTGTGTCTGATGTCCAGCTAAGCTACACAGACTACACCAGTGCTGTCTTCCTTAGCATCAATCAGCTGACATTCCAGTAGAAGGAAGGAAGGTAGTGGGAAAGCCATCTCTTTGAAGAACAAAATGTAGGCTGATTTTTGTTCTGTACATATGCTGTCATTGCTATTATTTTTATTTACTGTTTTCATATCGTTATCTTCTTAGACACATGCTAAACACTTTCACCAGCTACTAGAACATTCTCATCATGTATCCACTCTCTTCCCAGGCTTCCTATTCTTTTCCTTCACAGAAAGTGAGTTATTTGTCAGGGTGCTCTCTTTCTAATCACGTTTATCTTACCCAAGTGGCTTCCTGCTGTCCAATCTAACTGTAAAAACAGTGGATTTTTTCCCCTGCTCGGACACCTGAAGGAGCTCCTTCCAGTGTCACTACTTGAAATATAATGAACTAGTCAATTTTAAATTCACCTACAATTAAATAATTATCACTTTTACATCTTGTCAAATCCAACTATGATTCTTCTAAGGTTTATTTATTAAGAGGGAATCAATGAGCCTCAGTTTTTTATACATAATGACTTTTCCCCCCATAACTTATATTGACTTTTGTATATAAATACTTAAAATAGAATAAGGAATTCCTCACAAGTTTTTCAAACACAGAACTGTGGGAAGTAAAAGATCAAAGAACAATAATAAGCAGTCTAGCCTAAAAAGTGGTATTGATCAGAGAGCTGTATATCCTCCCCATCTGAAAATTCACTAATGAGAAGCAGTAGTGGTTGATCTTGAGATGCTTTGAAACTATAATAGGCTCATGAAGAAAGTAAATGAAGCAAAGGACATGCTTCAAATACAGAGCAAAAATCTCTCTGCTAGCTTCTTTGGTTGACTAATTGGTAATGCATTTTGTACCTTGGAGCCCCAAGACCACCTAAATGACTGAGACACTTAAATAATGAATGGAAAATAAAAAGGGAAGACAATTTATCCTTCTCTACCTCTAATTAATAAAAACATTTGATAGTTTACCATCTCAGCATGTACTGGAGGTTGAAACTAAACTTTAAACACACTTCAAAGATAATAAGTCCTAGGCAAAGATTAGATCACAACTACTAGCAGGCAACTGACGGAGGGTTTTGAGTATATTTTGAACACCAGAGGTCTTGACAGACCACCAATTAACATTTCCCCAGTGCCTGTTCAAAACAGTCCCTATTTCTATTGCATCAGAATGAAATACACAACGATACTTCAAAGTACGTATATTTTTACCAACATGTACAACTTCACACCAATGCAAATTCCAGCGAGAACTTACCATAACTTCCAGTCACATTGGCACATATAACAGCTCCGAAGAACAATGGAAAATACTTCTGAATTCTTGAAATCACATTTTGGCAGGCTATAGTTGGATCTTGTCCACCTCTCATATATTCTACAGCTTGGTAGCTAATTTAAACAAGGTGAAACTTTAGTATCACAGCACTAACCCCAAACATAGTGACTTGAGGTTAGAAGTCCTCATACCTATCACATTTGATAGAAAACACAAATGAATAGGAGTCATAACTCCTGTGATAGTATCAACATCAAAGCAAATAAGGGCCTCCCCCGTGGCGCAGCGGTTGAGCGCTGGATTAGCGAAGCTGCCCGCAGTCTCTGCAGCGCCGGTTCGATCCCCAGCTGCTCCCCGGCCACCGGAGGAGGATCCCACATGGCGCGCAGACCTCTCCTGTCGCCAGCTGCTCCCTCAGCAGTGTACTTCAGTCTTTCTGCCTGCTCTGCTCCCCGCTCTGGCTCTGGTGAATTCTCTCACCCTCCCGCGCTTCTGACTGTACCCAGTGCTTGTATAAATAAATAAATAAATCTTAAAAAAAAAAAAGAAGCTTTTAAAAAAAAAAAAAAAAAAAAAAAGCAAATAAGCCCTGATAGGATGTCTACTTTTTCACCAAATCCACCCATTAATTTCAGATGAGGCGCCTCCCTGGTGGCACAAGGGTTAAGTGCTGCACTGTGAAGCTGTCCATAGCCTCTGCAGTGCGGGTTTGATCCCTGGCCAGGGAGATACCCACATGGCGCGGCAGATCTCTCCTGTCTCACCCACTGCTCCCCTCAGCAGTGCTTTCGGTCTGTCTGCCTGTTCTGCTCCTGGCTCTGTCTCTGATGAATCCTCTCACCCTCCTGTGCATGTGGCCTGCACCCCGGTTCTTGTATAAATAAATAAATATTTTTAAAAAATTTTCACATGAGGACTATTATTTTTGGCTTTGGCTGAGTGTTACTTTATCATAACTGCCAGAAGTCGTGGAGTACAGAGATTACATTTAAACAAGAAAACGTGACCACAAGCAATGGGGAAAACACTGGGGCGTGTGTGACACTTGTAGCTGTAACGATTATCTTTCAGCAATTAATCGTATGGAGCGACTGCACTTTCTGCTCTGATCATCAGTTATCACTGTTCCTTTACTCAGTGGCCTCACATAAATTATTTAAATAGAGTGTAAGTATTCTCATCTGTGAAGCAGAGTAAGAAATATGATTCCATTTCAGAGGACGATGATTACTTAATTTGAATGATTATCATCATCAGAATGATAGGGAAAGAGTTTGTAAGCAGGGTTTCTAAAAAGCTTTTGTACAGACAAGTCTGGATTATCTGGCACCAGCAATTACTTTCCGGGTTGACAGGGACCAGATCTCCCCTGAAGAGCCCTGAGGGTCATACATGGAAGACGTCCCACCTCGGGAGAAAGCGCAGCAGGATATCCCCATCGCCGGTGGCTGCGGCTGCCCCGGCGGTGTCATCAGCATAGGCTCCGGCTCCAGGGATCGGGGAGTCTCCTACTCGGCTTGGGGAGGGAAGAAGACCACAATGTAACTCCAGGCAGGAGATAAAGGACAGAAACTAAACTGGTTCATGAGATGTTCACCAATAGGGGACACTACAGTGACAGTTGCAAATAAATTCTTCATCTGAGCACAGAAAAAAAAAAAAAAAAAAAAACATTTATTTTTCAACTTTGATTTTCACAAACCTACTTGAATAATATAAGAATTGGTACCAGTTATATATGAACATGGCGCTGATTTGTGGTGACTATTCTATTATTACCACCCTCTACTCTCTAATTCTGGATTATCTCAACAGGCTCAAAATTGGTTTTCTTCACCTTAATTTATTCTTGCTTTCTATCCATGTGCCAAAATTTTGACAAGGCTTTTCCTTGCCTTGCTTCTCTATTTCTTTGAAATAAAATCCAGAAATCCTTAAACTGGCTTAAGACCACTAGAAACCTGGCTCCATTCACTGCCCCCTCCACCGTCACTGTGTGTAACACATTTTTTTTTCAGCCAGTGAAGTACTGCCCCTGCCTGGGCCGGAGGAGAGCCTGGAGCCAATATCGTTCCCTCCCATTCGGTATGTGTGGGCACAGCTCCGAGCACCTCTTCTCTGGTTTCCCTAACTACCCCAAGCTCATCTGATCACCATGGCTCCCCTGAAATCTACAGCACTGGTGGCGACACCCTCACTGTTGGTGCTTAACAGCTGTTAAGAGTTTCTTCCATACACGCCTACCTCCTCTATCTCCTACTTGGGGGAGGGCGGGCTGAGATTTGCATTTTTGCAGAGCCCCTCATACTTGGCACAGTCTGGTTTACATTCAATACACATTGTGAGATGTGCTCTTTTGGAAACACTAACCCAGGTATTTTGAATTTTAAACCATTTGTAGATGTACCAGCAGCTGTATGTCCTGTCTGAAGGACGACAACCATCCCTGGAAGTTAAAAAAAAAAAAAAAATAGTGTAGGCATCAATTCTAAAGCTTACCTCACACATAGTTAAATAATTGAGCAGTTGGTAATATAAATACCCCCTTACAGTAACTTCTAGCAGAAGAAAATAGGAAACTTGTGTATATGAAAATTACACCAGTGGCAGGACATGCTTCTGAATGACTTATTCTCACAGTATTGTCTGGTCCACAGCTATCCTCACTCTCCAAATTACCCATTACTCTACAATGCTTTTTCAGAGGTAAGTCCAAAGGAAATCTCTGCTATAGATTAATGGAAATTTTTAAGACTATAGCTTATAAAGATGAATATGGTAAACAACATAACATAGTTAAGGAGCTAAAATCAAAGATTTCAAATCTACAAGAGAAGCATCATTACATTTTAGGGGTTTTGTATAAGGTAATTTAGCAAATTATATACAATGCTAAGAAAGAATGTATACATGTAGACAGACAGACTGACAGACACATTGATAGAGTATTACTTGGTAGTTAAAACAATAAAAATCACCTTTGGTACATGAATCTGGATGAAGAAGTTGAGAACTACAGGAAGGCAATTAAAAATGGTTGAACTTTAACAATTAAAACAGTATAAAAGGTAAATTACCAATAGTGTCATGACCATGGGTATCCCGTGTTTCCTTGTAGGTAGGACCATATTGCATTAAGGTATTAGGTGGTTTGTAGGGTCCACAGTATTTTGAAGCATCTGGTATGACATTCTGTGAACAAGATTTAAGTTTTACTTTTTAGAAAGGTTGATTTTAGAAATTAGCAATCACTAAACATGAGCAAGAAACTAGAAGGACATCTGGTAACTGTAACATAAAAATAAAAAGTCAAAGATAAGCCAAGTCTTTTGTGAACAGATGGATATAATTTACTAAATACCTAGTCTAAGTCTCAGAAGTACATACTATGAAGTAGACATCTATATCATTCAGAAAAGGTCCCTAATTTTTCTCTGTATATCTCTAAGTTTCTCAGCACAATGACCAATATAAACAAGGAATTTTTGCTAGCTATGAATCCTCAAAAGAATTCTGATGTATGTTACCAAACCATACCCACCACCAATGTCCCCAGTGGTGACCATATATCTGAAGAGTTGTGAACCCTTAGCCCTAAATTATAAACAGAACTGCAAATCAACTTTATCTCAATAAATAAATACTATGAAAAGTAAAAAAGGAATATGCATTTTGAAAATTTCAGCATTAATGTAAAAAAATTCAAGTTCTAAGATGGGGAAAAAGAATTCTGAGAATTAAAGCAAAATCTGTTTCAAAACCATCTTTTTACCCAAAGCTAGGTTCATGTGAACATATTCTAAGACTCTAAGATGCCATTATGAATCTTAAAGATTCCAGAAAATAATCCAAATTTACAAATTTAAATTGTTTACATAAATCAGTAATTTAGCCAGATGCCTACTTTGATGCCTCAGATGCCAACATGCAAGTGCCTGCTCTCATCTGGTTTTATAGTGTCTTCTAGCTAAAGCCAGTGACTTCTTGGTTACTTGAGGCAATTAGGGTTTGGGAAGAAACAGATGAGAGACTACACCTAAAGAAGGACTCTGAATGGCAAAGACAATTGGTTTATGCTGAAAGTCTGGCCATTTAAAGACAAATTGCCCCATTAGTAACACACTGACCACCAAAGAATATAAGTCGCCAAGTCAAATAAGGGCAAGATACTGGCTATACTTCACATAGGTAAAATCTAAGACATATTTTAGGCTAATAGTTTCCAAACTTGGATTTTTTTGACTGGAACCTTTGGTTGGAAATACAAGTAGAACAATTCTATCAGGCAGTAGTAGAACTGTCCATTTGAAAATCCCACAGAATTGTCCATTTGAAAATTCTTGTGAGGGACCAGTAGTTCTCCAGCCTAGAAACCATTAGAAGCAGCTGGGAAATATTAAGAACATCCATGCCCAGCCACCTTAAATAGCTAGTTCTAAAGTACGACCAGGTTGTGAATTCAGGACTCTATGCAACAGGTAGACAACAGAAAACAAGGAGATACTGCTTTTATTTTCAAGTAATTTACTTTTTAAAAAGTATGCATCCGTACCCTCCAATAATTTGGCTGGCAATTCCCGGCATGCCAATGTGAATAAAGAGTTTCAGAAGTACTGGTAGATAAATCCTCATTGATAAACCCCATGCTTTCGGCAAACTTGGTGGCTAGAGAAGGAAGGAAAGAAAAATGTAAGTATTCTAAACAGCAGTATTTCAGATCAGCAGTTTTCAAGCGGGGTACACCCATCCAAGGGTACACATAGACTTTCCAAGGAATATTCAGACATGAACAGTTTTAAAGACAGCAGTTTCTAAATCATGTACTTCCATACGTCCTCCCTAAAAGGGATCTACTTGAGATCCTTGGGGTGTATGTAATGACACTTTTCCGTTCTCACCCCCTCTCCACAACTTCTCTTCTTTCACTTTACAAAGAAAGTGAAAGACACCTCTCAACAACACAAAATCTTACTGCTTGAACTAGGGCGCAGTGCCCAGCAAATATTACAAAAGACAGACAACTAGATTCCAAGGAAAGAGTAACAGAGTCCCACTGCTTGTTGAGTAGTTGTCAAGAAAACTGAAGGGTGCCCAGTAGAGTGTTAATAAAAATTAATACATTGTTAAAAATTTTTATTATAGAACACTATGATTTTTCTAATTAATTTAGAAGGTGTTCAAGGAGCACTGACATAGCAAAATCCCTTCAGTTCTCATTTATTTGTGTGTTCCATCTTATGTTAATAATGCTCCTGATTTCACATCTAATACAGTTATATTAATAGTGTGATATACTTACAGTATAATCTAGTTATAATACAGTCACAGTGTAATACAGGAAATGATGATGTTTCCTATTTCAGTCCAGCAATTACCATCCATACATAAACTAATTTTTTAATCCTATTTTAAAGGTGAACAAAGTGAGAGTCAGAAGTTAAATAACTAATTGTGAAGTATTACTGAAACTAGAATTTTAAGTTAGGTGCACTGTTTTATACTCAGTACTTTCACCGTGAAGAATCCACACACAGTACTAGGTAAAATTTGGCTGAGTTAAAAATATACCTGATTCGCCTACTAAAAGTGTATGTGTTGTATGTTCCAGTACTTTCCGTGCCACACCAATAGCATTTTTAATGCGTCTGAGACCTCCTACTGCTCCTACATTCATAGTAGTGCTGCAAGAAAAAAATGCAGTGAGATGTACTGAGGTATTTTCATAGGTTCACAGATAAAAACTATTGCTTTATTCCAAGCAACCGTGTTTTGTCGGTTCAAATGCACCATCTAAACATAAAAGTACATGCATAGAGTCATACAAATTCCCCCAATTAGACACATCAAGGAGACAATCTACCACATACCCCAAGAGCATGAAAATCTCAGTTGCACCTGGCTCATTTCAAATATGGCTTTGGAATGGGGTTTTTAACAGCTTTAGGTCAGGCAAGCCACATAATGTGTAGATAGTAGAGAAATGACTGTTTTCGCCAGGTCAGAGACAAATTTTTGCAGCTTGGAGGATCTCCCTGTTTTAAGCAATCTGCCTCCAAGTGATATTTCTATAATTGCTATGATTTTGTTTCTTTCTAAACCAAAAAGGAAACTCCTTGTGTTTAGAAAGACCAAGGAAAATAAGCCAGGGATTTTGACCTGTGGCATGCATTCATTCATTCTGCTCTCAGTAGAAGAGTGATCGACTCATTCAATAGCAAGTGCCAGCGCAGAGATAAATCTGTCCGAACAGCATTCTTACCCATCCATGATCATGGCATCCAGTGTGGTTTCCCCAAATTCGTCAGGACTTCCTCCAAAACCCACGGTGCCGTCACACTGTTCCTCCTCACACATGGCACAGCCTTTCTCAACCGCATCCAGAGCAGACCCTCCAAATGCTAAGGTCCTCCATGCTGTCAATCAAATCCCAACAGTGCATGTTGATATATCTGGTTTTCCATTGCCAAGCGTAACAAAATATTTGTAGAACTCAAACTTTTTTGTCATGTTTACTCAAAGCTAACCTGAATTTTTAACAAATTAATTTCTCAAGTGGTACAAAGGAGTCAGTGATAGAGATGATGCAATTATTTACTATAAGAATTACCAGAGATAATGCAACTATTTACTATAAGAATTTGAGGACTTTAGCTATTGATGCAAAGTGAGGGTTTTTGTTTTTCCCACTTTTTAATAACTTTCTTCTGTGTGTGAGAAAATGTTCTCCTTCAATTTAAAGTGTTACAATTAAAACTACTAAAAGACTCAAAGTCATTAAATCGTAAAAAATCATTAAGTCATATAAGTTTCTTCTGCATCATTAGATTATAAAATTATACATAACTAATACCTTTATTGAGGTAACATCTATCACAGCAAGTTTCTGTGATATATGCAAGGGCAGTAAATACAATGTGGGTTTTATAAGGATTAATTCATTTAATGGTCACAATAGCTTTTTGGGTTTGTTCTTCACATTTACTATCCGCATGTTAAAGAGCAGGAAACAGACTCAGAGGCGGTAAGTAACTTTTTCAAAGTCACACAACTAGTACACAGCAGGGGTAGGATTCAGAAGGAGACAGTTTGGCTTTGGTGACCAACTTCTTACTAGGGGTCCTCCTGCCTTGACAAGGAAACAAAAAGTATTTAATGGTCAATTTCTTTACTAAAAACCCTAGAATTCCTGGAGAGATAGCTGCCACTGTCGGTAAACAGTTTAAGTGTTACTACTGGACATGTGGGCCTGAAATCAGAGATCAAGAAGTTCCTGGTTCAACATGCCAAGGCTTACACAATGCCACTGTGCTTCCTTCTCTGTCTCATCTCCGGGATTTTTTTTCAGTTCACTACCTTATATGTTCTGAATCACATGTGCTGAATGTAACATACAAACTTAGCTCCACCAAAATCTGGGGCCCACTCTGTCCCCAGAAAGTTTTATTAGCCTCATATAGGGGAAAAGAGGTCTGAAATTACTTTTATGATAGTATGAAACACACACACACACACAATACAATGAGAAAATGCTAAGATGGATGGTACGGACAGAATAATACCAAAGAACAGAAGACAACACTTAACAGACTGGGCATAAGGGCAGTATATCAAAGAAGACTTCTTGGAAGAGGTGATACTTCAGGTTGGTGGTTCTCAATGCTGGCTGCAAAGCAAAGTCACTTAAGGAGCCTTATAAAAAACGAAAAGTCCTGGGTACAGAAGTCAGGTACAGCTATTTTCAAGCTCTGCATCGATGATAATCTACAGTCACGACTGTCCCATTCCAGGTGCCAAACAGGCATGTCAGCATGTGGAGTGTGTGAGTAGGGGGGAGAGAGGGGGTTGGTAAATGCAATGAGTATATTTTGGGGGGGTACTTATTAGTCGTCTGCAAAGTTGGAACACAAGGTACTGGGGGGATTTGGGGGGTTAGAACAGAGCCCTGGAGGGACAGAGAGGAGGCAGCTGGAGAAGACTGGATGTCTGGACAAGACGGGGTAGGCAGATAGGATGCCCCACAGCAGACAGGACACCCCAGTTCTAGGTTAGCCGCAGGGTGGAAAACACTAGCCCCGGGGTGCCGAGGACCTAGAACGCAGCAGTGGGAGGGGGTGCCCGAGCACAGGCAATCGCAGAGGTCGCGGCGGCTCAGGCGGCCGCAGGAGGGGGCGCCCAGGGCGGGCCCCGCAGGCGGGCGCGGCTCCGTCCCCTCCGAAGGCCCCGCCGCGCCGCCCCGCGCCCCGGCCCCGCCGCGCACCTGCTTCGGTCGCGTTCCTAAAGGGCCAAGTGTTGAGGACCAGCGGGCCGGCCATGTACGAACAGGCCGGGCCGAGCAGGAGGGACATGAGCAGCAGGAGGCTCGACTCCCCCGCCATGTTGTCCCGCGGGCCGTCGCGCCTGAGGGTCACGGGCGCGACAACCGCCGGCCCGGCCTCCGCGGGCCACACCCCGACCACGCCCTCGGCCCGCCCCCGGCGGCCCCGCCCACCGCCGTGAGCGCGGCCGGTCCTCTCGCGAGACTCGCTCTTCCGGGACGGGCGAGGTTTGGGCCCCGCCGCCCGGGCTGCAGCTCGTGCCCCAGCTCAGCTCAGCGCAGCTCCGGGGAGTTGGTTTTAAATAGCCGAGTTATTGCCTTCCCGTTGTGCAGGGCTGCGTGAGCTCGTGTTAGAGAATTAGTACGAAATTATGCAGCCCTGGATTGCACGATGCCAGGGATTTCAGTGACTGCTGTCAACTATTTGGTTTAACTTGCCTTTATTTTTTTTTATTTTATATATTTTTTACATTATTTTTTATTTTTGCACAGTGTATGCATTTTCATCTTGGTTATAGTCCCCACACAATTCCCACCTGCCTTATTTTGACCATAATCCCTCTTACCCTCCCCCAACCCGTAGTGTGTCTTTGATTTATAGTTGCTTGTTGATTTTGATTTTTACTTTATTATAATTAGTCTTTTTCCTGGTCCCTTATTTAGGTTTTCTAAATTCCTGCTATGAGTGAGACCATCCGGTATTTTTCTTTTTCTTTCTGGCTTATTTCGCTGAGCATGATCCCTTCCAGCGCCATCCATGTTGCTGCAAATTGCATGTGTTTATCTTTTTTGATTGCTGAGTAATATTCCATGGTGTATATGGACCACATCTTCTTGATCCAGTCATCTATTTTTGGGCATTTGGGTTGTTTCCAAAGCTTAGCTATTGTAAACAGTGCTGCTATAAACATAGGGGTGCAGGTGTTCTTTGGAATTGATGTTTCTGTGTCCTCTGGGTAAATACCTAGGGGTGGAATTGCTGGATCATATGGAAGCTTTATGTTTAGTAGGTCCAGAAATCTCCACACAGCTCTCCATAGTGGCTGGACCAGTGTGCACTCCCACCAGCAGTGCAGGAGAGTTCCTTTTTCTCCACACCCTCGCCAACATTTGTTGTTGCTAGTTTTTTTAATATGTGCCATTCTCACTGGTGTGAGATGGTATCTCGTGGTAGTTTTGATTGGCATTTCCCTGATCACAAGTGATGCTGAACATTTTTTCATATGCCTGCTGGCCATTTGCATTTCCTTTTCAGAGAAGTTTCTTTAGCTCTTCTGCCCATTTTTTGACTGGATTATTTTCTTTGTTTTTGTTGAGTCTCATCAGCTCTTGCCTTTTAATTAGAAGGTGACATGCATTTTTCCACTCTCCTGAGGAATAGCTTTGTGAACAAAGCTTTGTGAACAAGTCTTTGTTTGTATATGATTCTTATTCTTAGAAGTAAAATTAGTGAGAAAAACAGAGTCTTTAAAGTAACACTGCATTTGAACATTGTAGTAAGTTTCAGGGGTTCTTCCTTGAGAATCACCTTGTAGAAACATGAACACAATAGCCATGTCCATTATGGAAATGCATCTGTAAATTTTTAGTTTACAAAGTGGAAAACATTGAACTTGAAAAGTTGTCCAAACCACGACTGTACACTCTGGGATTTCCTGGCTTCAGCAATCTGGGGTGTTATTAAGGACCTCCTAGGTGGAGGGAGCTGACTTACAACCTGATTCATTTTAGGTTTTTCCACTACAGCTTTTTGTAGGACGTCCTCTTCTCTATAGACCCCTGAGCTGGAAGAAAAAGGGACACTCCAAGGCAGCAGAAATTAAGGAGCCACACAATTCACAGAAGTGCACCTTCCTGCTCCCTGGGGCAAGAACGCTGCCTCCTTTCCTTTCTGAAAGTATTTTACCTTGTGCTAGGCACCATTAAGTGCTAAACAAATGTCTGAGTAAAATGTGAAATAGAGACTTTCTATGCATGATAGAGGTTGTTCATTTTGATAGTTGGATGGTCTGGGCAGATGGGCAAGCAATAATCCCTTAAGGGATCCGGAATGCCTTCCTGTATTGCCAAAGGAAGCCACGTAGTCGAATACTTTCTCAGATCATCTATAAATCTATCCAGATTTTAAAAAATATTAACTCGGTAGGCATTGTGAGGTTTACTAAACCTTGGAGGCTCTTATGGCCATGACATTAAATACACTATTTAATCAGCATCGGATGGCCTAGAAGAATTACCCCAAGGCGGGGAAGTGCTATTTAAAAGGTAGGTGTAATTAAAGGGAAATGTTGTAAATTTCTACTGTGGGATTTCGGAGGACGGGCAGGGCAAGTCATCTGCACTAGCATAATCAGGTTAAACCAATACCAGGTGAAATTTAAGAGAGGTGAGACAGGGTAAGAAAGCACAGTAAACATACACTGTCCTCTGAATTGATTTTCCTTAGCGCTTGAACTGAGCCTTGGTATTTTTGAAACAACCTGAACAGTCAAGACATGTCTTTAGCAAAAGCTGGCACAATACAATATATAAAAAACGGGTCTCGGTGCCCCTTGCTCCCTGTAGCCTCTTCTTAGTTCTTACGGTGTTTGTGTTTCTTCTGGCTAAAGAGCCTGAACTCTGTTACTTTCTAAGTCTATTCTTATCTCCCAAATTCCTCTCCCTACTTGATATCAAAATACCCACCAGAGAATTCGCCTCACCTGTTGGTCAGAGAAAAACAGCTAAATTATATGATGGTGTGATGTCTGAGCAAAGGTCTTAATGCTCATCCTTCCTGAAAGTGTTTGTGTATAAAATAATGAATATTCCATCTCATAGGAATCTAACTTATTTGGTGCTTTTTTAACATCTCTTGAATGAACTAGTATGTCTTTTATCCACTTAGCTGTATTTAAAGCCGTCCTTTCACCTGAGTCTAAAATATGTTAAATTAGTCTGGATAAGTGGGTTCCTTCAGTCTCATTTTTTTTCTTTGACTAACAGTTGGAGGATAGGGTTGAGTTTTAGTACTGGAAGTTACCTCATGTTACTCTCACTTAGCTTTTCATTTGAGCCTACACAGAACTGCATCCTATGTTTTATTTTCAGGTAAATCTAGATGAAATGGGATATCTGTTAAAGTCAGGTAGTAAACATTTAAAAAAAAAAAAAAAGATCCCACAGTTGCCCAGCAGCCTCTCCAATTCTTCATTCTCTTAAATCGTTCATCATACCTAACAGCAGAAATATGTAGCATTATTGAAGAATCAAAAGGATTAGTTACAAATCATTTTTATTTAAATTTACAATGCATTACATGATATTCTTTGGCAAAATATTTATGTTCCTAAATAGAACTTACTTATAACTAGCAATCCTTCAGGAAGAATCTCAAGACCTGGGTCCAAAAATATAGGGATTTCAAAATTATCAGCTGTGGTTAAATCAAATAATCTTCCCACATTTGCCTCAGCTGCAAAATACAGAAATAGTGTTCTTTCCTATCTTAGAAAGTTTTGTGAAGGAGGCAGGAGAGGCAAGAGAATGCTAGAATACTGTGCAAATTAAATACTATTCTATTGTTTAATTGACTATTACCAAGCATCCATCAACGGATATCAGAAAGGAGGTAGTCCAGAAACATACAAAGTGGCAAAAAAGCAATCAATTTGAGATTCAGAAATTTCCACAGGGAAATAAAGAATTGACCAGATAACTATAATGCATTTTAAAGTAAGCACTTAGAATTTCCTTGACTGTACTACATGGGAGTTTAAAATAATATTTTCCCTCAACCTCAATTTGAAGCTAAAATATGTTTTAAATGTTTATAAAGATGGTCCATGGCAAGATTTCTAAATGTTTTAAAAACAGCATCCTCAAGTCTTACCAGACAGCCTGGAACCAAACCTTAAAAGATGTTACAAATAGAGCCTTCCTGTGTGGGGGGAAGGAAGGAGGGGGTGCAGGAGGCTGCAGGCTCCCCTCGATTTCCTCTAAACTTCATGCCTTTCAATTTATCAGTCTCAGAAGGATGAAGAGTTGAGTCTCTCCTGATAGCATTTGAAGCTATGGTTCCACAGAGGATTTAACGCTGTAGTTGCGGGGAGTCTAGGTATTTCAAATCTGAGGCTTAAAAAAACTAAGCCATCCCCTCCGGCTTTTGCACTGATGCTGTGAAATCCATTTGAGAAACATGCCCATGTTTTGCTACTTGTTTAAAGCTGTAAGCGTGACTTGGCATTGAAATAATAATTTCTTTTTCAAAAACTCCCCACTGGACTATTACCTGGGTTATCTAAATACAGGTTATTTATTTGATTGGCATTTGCTCTTGTCAGTTTCGCAAACTTTAAGTAACAGTTGTGGCTAATGTTAGAGAATTGTGTACTGTGTTTCTAATTTCAATCCATTTTTATATGAATCCGGGAACACTTGATATTACATTGTACATTCTGGATGTAATTAGAGTCATTATGCAGAAATAAGTGGTATCTTATTATTCTCCAAATGAGAAAAGAAAGTATTCTTCCTTTCTGAATTATTTTTTCTGGTTCATGCCACAGATTCAAATCACAAACTTTTGGGGCTTTGTTAACCTCTAAGTCATCCCAGTGACCTATAAAAGGCCAAGATTGCATAGTAGAACATTGACCTATTAAGTGGTTTCTTCTTAATAGTAAGTTGTATACCACATATTTTCAATGTTAATTTTAATGTTCAGTCACTGCTATAATAAAGTTATCATGAGGATTTAGTTGATATTTTATATGTTAGAATTTTCTCTTTATGACATTTCTTTATAAGGTTATTCTGTCTTTATAAATGTGTTTCATCATAACAGTAGAGGCTTGGGGCAACAGAATTAACTTCCTGATGTCTTCCTACTACTTCAAAAATCACCTTGTTAACTAGTGCACAGATGGTTTCAATGAAGAAACTGAACAATAAAAGCAAAATTTAAAATAACAGTGCAAAAAGATGCTCATTTGTTGGTCATGATTTAAATAGAAAAATATTCTAGTAATGAACAAATGTTTCTTGTGTTTAAGTAATCAACTATTCATTATCTGATGGTTCACATAAAGATTTAAAAAGAAAGATGACTTTACATGTGACTAAGTATTCATTTTTTGTAGAAATACATAAATGTTCTTCAATAATCTCTAAGTACTCTAGCCCTTTTTAAAAAATCATCTATCTCCTAACATTTGGGTATGTATCTGGTGAAAAATCTTGACATTGTACAAACTATTGGTTAATCTCTCTTCAGATAGTTTAACTCTTTGTCTATTGGGGTTTTATACAATTTTAGACCCCATAAATATAGAAAATGATATAACATAAATATATAGCTTAAAGAATTTTGCATAAAATGAACATAGAAATAATCACCACTCATGTTAACAAATAGAATATTTTGAGGACCCAAGAAATCCCCAGCTGTTCATACCACATAATTTTTAATGGAAGTATAAAATTCACTTATGTCTGGCCAAAAATGTATTGTATTCTATGGCTTCTTATATTGTAGGTTTTTGTGTAGAAATGATTTTTCAGAATTAACCTGTCAGATAGTACCTTGGGTTTATGTGATAAACCATAACTATTAAAGTAGCCTTTTTCTACCTTGTAGGTGAAGTTCAATATTAGGAATTCAGGACTCACATGCCTAATGGGTGAGCAGAGTCAGCTCAGTCTGTTAGTATCTCACTTAGTTTTCTGAAAAGTCAGGGCAGATTTAGAGTTTAAGCAGGTCTCCAAGTCCAGTGTAGGAAAACCAAAGTGACTCCATCTTGCATCAGTGCCATTTTAGCCCCTTGACTGATAATTGCCTCACCTTGGGAAGACAATTCCCAGTTGTCTGTTTCATATACATATAACCCATACACAGCCCTATTATTTCTAGTAGAACAAAGACCCTGGTGACATCACCTCTGGCATCATTAGTCCCACACAAGAATGATCATACATACCAAGCAAGGTATAAGAAGACCCCTATTAGGGCGGGTGCTGACCCTGCCTCAACCCAAACTCCTGTCCACCAGCTCCAGCACTCAGGACCCCCGTATGTAAGTGGCCTTTAGTGATCTTTAGTGTGATGAATAACATGCCTCCTTCCCTTTTTGAATCAAATTAACTTCTCAATATGGGGGAATTTATTCAGGGAGCTAGGTGGCTCAAGGGAATGTTACCACGTGAGCCTTTCTGCTGAGGAAGGAGCTGGTCAACCCTCCCACCATCGTTTCCATTTTCTCCCAAGTACAAAACTAAGAAGTCTGGAAATGACCAGCTTGTCATGACAGATCAAGGGCTTGTGGGCAGTCAGCAGTGTGGGCACTCTGATTTCCCAGTGATTCTGACAGCCCACCTCAAGTTATCACTCTTTATTTATTTATTTATTTATTTAAATTTCAGTTTTTCTTTTCTTTTTTTTTTTTTAAAGATTTATTTATTTATTTATTTTTTATACAAGCACTGGGTACAGTCAGAAGCACGGGAGGGTGAGAGAATTCACCAGAGCCAGAGCGGGGAGCAGAGCAGGCAGAAGGACCGAAGTACACTGCTGAGGGGAGCAGCGGGTGGCAGGAGAGGTCTGCGCACCATGTGGGACCCTCGCCCAGTGGCTGGGGATCGAACTGGCGCTGCAGAGGCTGCGGGCAGCTTCGTAACCCAGCGCTCAACCGCTGCGCCACCCGGGAGGCCCAAGTTATCACTCTTTAAACTCTTTGAATTTCACAGGGTTAGGGCTTTGATACTATGATTCTGAAATTTTAACTGCTGCTTGCTATGAACGCACAAAATTTTAGAGGAGTTTTAAGCAATAGATTTACTATTTTTTTGCACATCACAGGAATTAGAAAGCTGTGGGTGTTGATTCAGAATCTATATGCTGGAGAGTTATTTGTTGCTTTCTGATCACAAGAGAGCTAATGGTGCTCCAGATATACATCACGGTCAAGTCAGGGGAAGGAGAAAGGTCTGGTGTCAGCTACCTCTTTCCCTTTCTGTCAGGAAACCAGGCTGCCCCGACACTCCCAGCAGAATTCTTCATCCATTGTCAGAATGATGTCACTGGTCTTTTCTCTGAAGTCTCAACATTGTCCTCTTGTTTCTTTCATCCCTGTGTTTTCTTCTCTCTCTCGTTTTTGTTTTTGTTTTTGTTTTTTTTAAGAGTCTGGATGTCAGTTCTGAGTCAGTATAGGACCTAAGAACAACACATACAGAAAGAGCCATTACCAAGGTGACCTTGAGAATTCAAGACCTATATAAATTCCTCCAAACTTTTTGGAGAAGCTGGACTTCATCAAAGTGTAAATTTGAGGTTTGAGCCAATTTTATTTAGATCTCAAGGATCAAAGAAGCTCTATTCAACATTAGAATGATGATATGATGCTCAGTGGGCAATTGGAAGTAAAAAGGCCAATTCTCCCTCTGGGATAAAAAGATGGTTATTTTTGAGAATAAGAGATTAAAGAAAATGGCAGACTTAATACCAGATAATCTTGATCTTCTCTAGGAGTGGTTAAAAAAAAAAAAAAGCATCTGCCAAGATTACAGCAGGTTTGAAATGGAATTGGTGGCTAGAAATTGGTGAGGGATTTTAGAAGATTCATTATGGGAGGTCTCATAAGTATGGACAATAATTGAACAAAAAGGATTGTGGAGCAAAACTTAAGATTCATTTGAAATCAAGTGGTCTGATACCACCTAAATTATAATATCCAAAGTGAGAATTACTTCCCAGTCGGGAGAAAATCTACTTGATTGATGGGAAACTTCTTGGTATTGTTGATAATAACGAAGTTCAGTGTGTATATATTTAATGGAGAGTTAACAAGCTGGGTGAGTGGAGGTATTGAGAGCTTGGAAAATCTAGTGCAGGTAGAAAACCTATTTCAGAGGTTAGAGCGTTGGTAGATGGGATGCTAGATGAAAGGTGTCAGTCCTTTTCACACACTGTAGCCTATTTTTAGTGTTGATTTCACAGGCAGGTTCAGTCCTCAAACATTTTTTAAAGGATTTATTTATTTATGCGTACAAGAATGGGGTACAGGCCAGAGATGTGGGGGTGCGAGGATTCACAGAGACAGAGTGAGGAGCAGAACAAGCAGATTAACTGAAATACACTGCTGAGGGGACCAGTGGGTGAGCCAGCAGAGGCCTGCTGCGTCATGTGTGTTGCTCCCTGGCCAGGGATCGAACTTGTGCTGCAGTGGCTGCGGGCATTTTCACAGGTTGTGTCTTAACCACTTGCAATACCAGCAAGGTCTTAGTCCTCAAATTCAAGGAGATTTACAATCTAAGGAAACCTTCGTTTGTCAGAGCCCAACAATTGTTGCTTTTCTTTTTGGTTTCCTTCTTTCTTTACCTATTTTCCCTTCTCTTCCATCATGATTTCCCTCCTCCCTTCCCCTTCTTTGCTCTGCCCCACCTTCCCCTCTATCCCCACCTTTCTCTTCTCCTGCCTTTCTTCTTTTCAAAAAGTATATATTGGTTGCTTATTATGTTTTGGCAATGTTTTTATGACATACATATTTTTAATTTTATATACGTGAGCGCACACACACATAGTGGTGGACAAAACAAATTCCTTCTTTGGTAGAACTTAACTACTAAACAGAGACCTGGTACGTAAGGATAGTAGAAGCCATGGAGGAAAATGAAACCAGATGCTTGGGTTGCTTGGTTGGGATGCTCCTGCTGAAGGTGGCGGGGAATGATGAGATTCTAGGTTGGTTTGAAGGAATAACCCGTAGGTATGCTAATGGGTTCGATGCGTGGTTTAAGAAAAAGAAAAGAGGGCCTCCCCTGGTGGTGCAGTGGTTGAGCCGCTGGGCTGTGAAGCTGCCTGGCAGCCTCTGCAGCACTGGATCGACCCCGGCAGTCGGGGAGGGTCCCACATGGCGCGCAGACCTTTCCTGCCGTGCCCGCTGCTTCCCTCAGCAGTGTATTTCGTCAGTCTGCTGTTCTGCTCCCCACTCTGGCTCTGGTGAATTCTCTCACCCTCCCACGCTTCTGACTGTACCCAGTGCTTGTATAAATAAATAAATAAATCTTAAAAAAAAAAAAAAAGAAAGAAAAAGAAAAGAGTTAGGTTTGACACCAAGGTTTAGCTAGCTGTGTTGGATGATGTGACTGGACTTACTTTAGGGTGAGAAATAGGAAAAGGAATACATTTTTGATTTTGGGTACAGGGCAGCCTTGGAGCTGATGTAATTAGTGTGATACTTGCACACATTTCTGAGTCTTACAGGGGTAAGTTCTTTGCTGCTTACAGGCTTCTCAGCAGGATTCTCACAGGCTTGATTACCGGTGTTGAGGAAGAAGCGTCATGGAAGAAGAAGCAGAGGGTTCCTGCTAAACTGCTGACGTCTTACTCCAAAGAGGACTCCTTTCCCTGACAGACCAAACATCTATGTTTAAGTCAGCTGGAAGAGAATGAAAAGTTGACGTGAGTTAGTTAGAGAGAGACCCTTTTTACAAATTCCTTATACAGCCATATGTGGCTTGACAATATTCTGGTCAATGATGAATCATTTTCTCTCTCTCTCTCTCTCTCTCTCTCTCTTTTCCTTTCTCTCTTATATAAAATGTAGCCTAGATAATGTATGTATGCGATGCATTGTCTGTGGGGTAGACTCTGCCATTTAGATTTGTGGAATTACCCCACAGCATTTCAGAAGAAAAAAATTGCCTAGACAACTTATCTCTCAGAATGTGTCCCTATCATTAAGCAACACGATGAGTGTGTTCACTAACTCCTTGGCCTTCTGCTCTTTTCCTCTGAGTGACTAATTTGATTAAGAAACTTGGGAAGATGCCACAGGGCATGCCAGGCTTGCCACTGCCCTCTCTCCTCGAAGCCTGAGCTGTGAGGGGAAACCAGCTTTTTTGCTGCCTGTGTCAAGGCTGCTTGGGTAAGTCTGTCTGATTCTGGCTTTAATGCTAGCAAAGCTTGGATTTAACCTGTATTAATTGGGAAAGTGTTTCACAGGCTCCTTCTGCCACTGTTGATTTTCCTTTTTATTGAGAACGCTGGTGAGATAAAGGAGTCTTGTAATGCATCCCCTTGAGAATCAAACAGCAATACTAGACACACCTCCTTCTTCTGTCTCAGTTCACAGGACACAGTCACATGTGTGCCCTCAATGACACCTCCCACTTTGCAGGGCACAGAATAGAAGTTTATAGATGATAAATGAAATGATCAAACCCGAAGTTACTAAAAGTAGCAGTGAGATATTATATGCAGGTCTCCTTACTCCTAAACATGCCCCTCCCCCCTTATAACTACAACAACTTTGGATTTAGATAAAAGGAGAAGTTTTCTTTTGAGTCACTGGGGCAGTGCGTGCATTCATCAAGTGGGAGTAGAACCTCTGTCAAATTGTGAAAATGGAAAATCTACCATTCTATATTTTACTTAAAGTCTTGCACATTTGTTCATCCATCTTTTATTTCAAATATGTCAAATTTTTCATTCGTGTCTGAAATGTATTCAAATACATTTTCCTTGAGAGTTGCCTTTCATGGTTTTGTTTTTTTTTTGATGCTGAATTTTGGTATTAATTTTTTTGTTTGTTGATCTGGTGATATTTGTGACTCCACTAAGCAGTGAATGATCACACCCCTAAGTTGTTGGAGAATTTCTGCGGCAGCTGCTTTTTACCAAGTACCTTTTCATGCCTCCATCTTGGCAGAATGCAATTATCTATTAATTATCACAAAATTTTAAAAGTCTCCAGCTTCACAATGGAAACTGTGTTGTGCTTATTTTTATGGGAAGGAAATGGAACATGGTGAGTGCCCAGGGGGGTGATTATGGACAGAGAGTGGTACAATAGGAATGGCACTGGAAGGTTTCCATGTGGCAGTAAACCCTTATCTCCAGCCAAGACCCATCAACACAAATAGAAGGAATGTGAATTAGCTGTGGAGGCAGTGCATTTACTATTAAGAGCAACTGTGCAATCTAGTTTTCAAGACCCATGCTACCCAAACACATTTTTCTACATTACATAATGTTATCATTTAAATATTGTCATTCAAATGTGAAGACCAGCTGTGCATATCAGGACACAGCTGTCAGCTTGAGGTGCAGATAAGCCATCTGGTGCTTGGTTCTGAGTGGTTAAATTCCAGCCAGGGATTTAACTTCATATCCAGCTGTGATAAAGTAAATTGAAGGCTGCGTATTATTCCTCAGAAATCACTCCTTTGGGAGAGTCCTCAGAAATAAATTTTAACCAGAGGTGTCATTGATTGGTTCTACACTTTCAATTATAACATCTGCCAAAATAAAACCAAACAAAAAAAATTGTTCGGTCATTTCATTTTCTTCCGATGAAATAAAATAGTGAAAGAGAATGAAGCTTTTCAGTCTTCACATTATTTGTGTACAGGGACAATCTCCAGTGGAACTGCCTTGCTTCACTCATCTCTGAGTGATCTCTAACAGTGCAGGAAGACAGCAAAGGTGGTGATTAGCTTGATTTCCAGAATCACTCAGTCTGTGGCGTGTATGTGACACACGAGAAAGCAGCAACATTTTTCACTATTGTCTTAGGAACACCCTTTTCTCAACTCCCAGTGTTTTCAAGGGAAAGATCTTAAAATGCTACCTTAACCTTTTGCATGCATGGCTCGTAACTGACTCCTGAGGAAGAAAAATGTCTTGAAAATCAGATACCCCAGTATCTCTAGGCCTTTCTGTGTCTAGCTATCTATTTGATGAATTAATCTTTATCACTTTGTAATATTTTCAAAGGCACAGACTTTTACTTACTGTAATATTATACATGGTGGGTGTTCTAATGATAACTTTATCTAAAGCAAATAACTCTAGGACATATTCATTACAGAACAGGATAGGGTTATAGTATATGTTTATGTAAGTTAGTTGTTAAACAATTAGCCAATAGCAAGCTAAATGGTTTCTTCTTTCTTTTTTTTTTTTTTTTTTTTTTTGTGGGAGCCTCGCCAGTGGCCGGGGAACGAACCGGCGCCGCAGAGGCTGCGGGCAGCCTCGCAGCCCAGCACTCAACCGCTGTGCCACCAGGGGAGGCCCTTCTTCTTTCTTTAACAATGATTTGCTTAATTTTATCCTGTGGTTTCTAATTTTATTTCAAGATAGAACTTTCTTCTGACAGTTGCAATTGCTAATTTAAACACACAAAAAAGTGAATGTGGGTATGAGCAGAGACATTATTTAGGCAAGGACTTTTCGTATTTTCTTTTTAATGTGTGTTTACAAAAAATCTTGCAGGGGGAGTGCATGATTAATCAGGCAGAGAGAGAAGCATAGTCTATATGTATTGGTCAGGGGTATCCAGAGAAATAGAACCAATAGGATACAGATAAGTAAATGGAAAGATAGACAGATCATGGATAGTTAGCTAGATAGATAAATCGTTATAAATAGACAGACAGATAACAGAAGAGATTTATTATAGGGATTGGCATACATCGTTATGGAAGCCAACAGCCTGCCATTTGCAAGCTGGAGAATCAGGAAAGCTGATGGTATAATTCAATCCATGCCTGAAGCCCAAGAATGAGGAGACCTGATATTGTAACTCCAAGTCATGGGTCAAAGGCCTGAGAACCAGGAACTCTGATGCAGGAAGTCAGGAGATGATGTCCCAGCTCCAGACACTTTGCCCTGCCTCTGCCTTTTTGTTCTCCTTGAGACCTCAAGGCATTAGATGGTGACACCCGCATAGCTGAGGGCAGATCTATTTACTCAGTCTACTAAATCAGGAGCTAATGTCTACCAGAAACACACTCACAGACCCCTCAAATGTTAGATATATAATGGTGACTTTTTTTTTTACATATGAAAATGTATCCAGATAGGGCCTCCCTAATGGCTCAGGAGTTAAAGTCTCAGTGCTGTCAAGTTATCACCAGCCACAGCGGCAAGAGTTCGAACCCCAACCAAGGAGCTGACCCACATGGCACAGCAGACCTCTCCTGTCTCACCCGCTGCTGTCCTCAGCAGTGTATTTCAGCAGATCTGCCTGTTCTGCTCCCTACCTGTCTCTGGTGAATCCTCTCCCCTCTCCACCTCCGCACATCTGGCCTACACCCCAGTACTTGTATGCATAAATAAATAAAAATAAATATTTAAAAAAATGTATCTGTGTAATTACAAGCTAGATTAAGGCACAGAACATTTCCAGCAGCTACCCTCAGTCAATTTCCACCTCCTTCCAAAAATCAGCCCTACTGTGACCTCCATCCTTGTGCAGTAGTTTGCTTGTTCTTGAACTTTTATGAAACCCATAGTTTCTACTTTCATGTCTGGCTCCTTTTTTTCAACACAGTGTCTACGAGATTCATCTGCATCATTGCATGTAGCCACACTGGTTTCTTTTTCACTGATGTGCAACACACTGTTCTACAATTTATCCATCCATAGTAGGATTAACTGATGCATAGTCTCTGCTTGGGCCAGTGCTAGTATCAAGCCTGTATCCACACAGTCCTCTGGTAGATGTTAGCTCTCAGAGCTGTCCTGTGGACACCCACGACTCCTCGCTCTTACACAAGGTGCCAAGTAAAGTACCTTTGTCCGTTTCACAGACATTTGCATACTGGCCTGAAGGGAGATTAACTAGGAAAAGAAAAGATTGCTTCATCTCTTTGTTTAGGAATTGTTTCCTGGCTCTTGGAATGTGTTACTCCCAATTGGCTCCCCAATAAACACTAACTCTAATTAAAAAAAAGCCAAACAGCCATATCTCAAGAGTTGGACTCAAAAAGATTTAATCATGAGGGTCTACCAGGATTATGTCATAGGAAGAAATTGTTAAAAATTAATTTTACCTTAAGGTCAGTCTCCAAGCCCCAGATTCTTTGTACTAGAAAGTGTAATACAAATAGCTCAGAGTATCTCTGCTAATGCCTGCAACAATTTTCATCCCTGACCTACAAAAACACAGAAGCACGCAAAACTTCTTTTTCATCCAGCACCCCCATCATTAAGAGCAATTCCAGTTCAGCTCTGGTCTCAGACAAAGAAAGGAAAAGTGGTGTGAAATATGTGTACACATCCTTAGACACTGAATTTGAGGAAACATTGTGTGTTGGAAACATTTTCTGTTGGGGCTTGGTCTCGAAATTGATCTAGCTCCAAGTTCAGAAAATCCAAAAGTCTGACCTAATAAGTGGCCTCACCTTCCTCCAGGTGCTCAGACTAAAAACCTACCTGGGACTCATTCTTAACTTTCTCCCTCAAACCACTCCCCGATCCAACAGCAAGACCTGATAACTCTTATGAAACATTTCAAATACAACCGCTTCTACCATTTCTACTGCTGGTGACTCTTTTTTTTTAAAAAAGATTTATTTTATTTTTGCATCCAAGAACTGGGGTGTAGGCCAGAGTTGAGGGGGATGAGAAGATTCACCATAGACAGAGTGAGGAGCAGAACAGGTGGATCTACTGAAATACACTGCTGAGGGGAGCAGCAGACAGGAGAGGTCTGCTGTGCCATGTGGTCACCTCCCTGGCCCAGGGATCAAACTCATGCTGCAGTGGCTGTGGATAGCTTCATACTGCTGACACTATCCCTTGTGCCTCCAGGGAGGCCCATTCTGTGACTCTTCTCATTACCGTCATCCTCTCCCTCCCAACTTGGCCATTAGCAGGCATTTCTGCTTCTGTGCAGGTATTGCTGCTTTTGATCTGATTCTACAGTTTAACATCTTGGTTGCAAATAGAATTATCTTTTGCAAATATAAATTAGATTATGCTCTGTGCTGTTTAAAAAAATACAGCCAAATAAACCAACAAACAAATTTAAAAGTTACCATGACTTTCCGTCATGCTTAGACTGAATCCTTACTTGGCTGAGAAAAATCTAGATTCTCCATCTTCATTGAGATCTGCAAATTCTGAAAAATCATCTGCAAAGACTGAAAATATGAAATTAGTTAGACTATGAAATTGTCACGCTCCCCAGGAAGTTCTATGTTTACCCAAAATGGAAAACTACTCCTAACCATACCCTTCTCTCTCTCTTCAACCCAACTGACTTCTTGCTGTTTTTTGAACATACTAAACTTATTTATTTTATGGCCCAGAGCCATGGATCATTCTTCCCTCAGATTATTGGATAATCTATTCCACAATTTAACTTTCTGCTCATATGCTTATTTTTCAGAAATGTTTTCCTTGATCCACCTATGTAATCACACTCTACTTCTTGAGCCTGGATGTTTTTAGCATTTATGTGAAGTTGTATTGCTTTCTTCTTTAACTGGTGTTACTTTTCTTCCCAAGAATGTAAACTTCAATGACAATGGACCCTTTGGTTTATTCAGCACAATGTCTTCAGTCTGATATATAGTATGTCTGGTATACTAATATTCTTATTAGTATTTTTTGAGTAAACAAAGAATTCATCAAGATTCTAGAATCCAGAATTTCTACAACTAGGTCACTAGCTTACAGAATTCTTCATGTGGAAGGCTTTTGTAGTTGTTCTATTTGTAGCTCTACATTTTGCTTCTGGAAATAGTGAGAGGACTTTTGCTTTTATTTGTGTAACTATGTTGCTATGTTTATCAGGTTGACCTCCTTCCTGAGATATAGACCATCTGGTTAGGAGCTTTTGCTGTCTTCTCTTTTAAAGGAGAAGAATCCACCGTCTCTCTGAGGAGAGTTGTACAGTGATAAGCTTGAATTAATTTAATCATTGTGTCATGTAGCACTCACCAGAAAAATTCAGCAGCAAATAAAAATGCACACTATTGATATATTCAGAAATGTTTTGTAATAACTTCATTCCATCAGTTCTGCTATTTTAATGTATATAAAAAGACAGTACTAGTAATGGACCACTTTATTATAACCTCTCAATCATTCACATAGGATTATATGTAAAGATAATGGTTTTATTTTCTTTTAGGACAAAAAGTGATGTTCTTTTATTAAAGCTCTATTTTTCAAATTAAAATACTTTAGCTTTTGTCATTGACCATCTTTTAGGAGGAAAAGCAGAAGGATCCAACTTTATAGTGAGCTCCACATTTTCTTTCAAATTTATACTAAAGAAATTAACTACATCCAAGGGGAATGAAATTCTTTCTGAGTCATTGGTATCTTTAGCAAAATTAGAACTAAACAGAATACAAAATCTGCTCCTCAAAATCATAACTAACCCAAAACTAAAGCATGTCTCATTGTCACCAAATTGAATTAGAACTGCTTTAATTGCTGAAGAATATGAAGTTTCAATTAACCTTAAATATTTTTAAAGTCTTGCTTCCCAGTTTCTCTTCCTTAACCTTTCCTTGGTTAATGATGCACAAGAATCATATTCCTTAACACAAACTAAAATATAAATATGCAGGAATCTCATTAAAAACCAATTGGTTGAGCTGTGGGTTTGGTCATTATTTAAGTTAAATCATATGCCTCATCTTAAGCAGAATGGATACCACATCTCAATAACTATAACACAGCCCTCTGTTATAGGCCCTGGATTTTTTGATGACTACAAAGGAGTGCAATTCTCTTAGAATGGAGGAAATGGGAACAAGAAGGGAAAATCCAGATGTAGTTTGGATGTGTTATATGCAGTCTTGGTTAGATTAGTTTGGAACAAAGGCAGTTACTGAGAACTATCGTAGCAAAATTCTCCCCTGGGACCATCAGGAAGAAAACATCACCATCTGTATAGGATTGTTTAGATGGTTTTCAAAGGTACCTAAAAGCAGATGTCTCCTGTCTTTGCCATTAATATATATTTCATCTATGACCGTGAGTATGGCTTGAAATGTTAAAATGTAACATTACAGGCTGTTCCTAAGTTATCAACAGTTTTAGAATTCTAAACACTTTAATTTGTACCTTGCAATTTGTTTTCTTGTAAGAGTGTTATAGGGCAAACCCCGATAGAAAATGGGGTTGCCTGACTGTGGGTCCTCACCCGTGAGCTTAAAGAGGACTTATTTTTAAACTGCAGACATACACAAAAGGTTGATAAAAGGTTTATTCCCTTGTTTATAGACAAGGGAAGGGGGAATAGGAAATGAATAACTCAGGGAGAAAAAGAAAGAGATAAGTTCGCAAATGTGTCCTACCTGTTCCTCTGGCCAGGAATCCCAATGACCCACTGAGCTGGCAAAAAGCTAGCATGCCTGGTGGCCAAGCCAGCCACCTCCCGGCCACACGGCCAGTTCAATAATCAAACCAAGAACCTAGTTGCTTAACTGCACCCTCAGGTCCTTGCAACCTTCCCTTTGGTGATCATGGGATTTGTAGTTCCCAGTGTCATGGGGGTGGAGTCCACAAAGCCTGTATGGAGTTTGTTCAGAACATCCTTTCCCCCTATCAAGAGCACATACCCCATATTGTATATGATGAAGGTCTTCAAGCTAATAAATATACTATTTAACTAGTATATGAATGGAAATTCCTTTTTGCCAAGGGGTTGTCGCTGAGGAGTTAGATAAACCAGTTCTTGAATGACTTACAATAAAGACTGGGGGTCTTCGAGGAATCTAAGTAGAAAGAAGTTCAAGACAAAGTCCATGAGGGCAGCAAATGATGAGATCTTTTCAGAAAATGAAATAGAATGTATGTGTTATATGGGGTATATAGCAGAAATAAGTCCCCAAATTAAAATAACACTTTAAAAAAGCTAACCTGAAATAAAGTTAATGTGGAATCTTTTCTTGTTTAAAATCTACACAGATCCAACTAGGAGCGAACATAAAACCCCAAATAAAGCTTTACAGGAGTTCTGACATGAAAAGAAAGGCATTAAGCAGCAAGACTCGAAAACATGGTGATCTGCTCTGCCTGCTCTCTTAAGACATGCCTAGTAGAATTTTCTAGGTTGAGGCAAATCTTCTGTTAGCCAGAGCGTGACACTCTGCTTCATCAACTTCAGGCTCTTTCTGCCAAATGAAACGGAGTGAGAGACTCGAACCCTCAGGTCTGAGCGCTAGAGGCAAATTCCTTTGCAAAAAGAGCGCAGCATTTTGGAGAAGTCTGCATAGGATGTTGTCATTTGCCCCACTTGGTAATTGCATACAACTCCGATCTGCTCTGTTGTGTTGGCAAAATCATAGATTATTTGCTTACAAAAAAAAAAAAATCATAAAATAATGCAGTTGTACAACTTTAACTTGAGATTCTGAGAAGGAGCCCAGAAAAGCTAAAACCTTTTTGGAGCAAAGCCTTTTGGATATCAGTATTATATCCCATTCATTAGCTACTATCACCAAATTCATCTTCATTGTAAAATCATCCTTTCATGCACTGGACTCTGCAAGGTCCAGGTTATGATTGTGCTAACTTACAGCTTCATGACATAATAACTTCTGCTCTGATGTGATGATACAATTATCAGGATTTTCTGATAATGAAAGAAAACATTACTTCGGTAGCAAAACTCAGGGAATGAAATGTTTAATCTACTTTACAAAAGCAGCCTGCATTAATTATTTAAAAATGCCTACCACTTTACTTGTATGGGAAAAGTACAAATTTCCTGAACAGTTGGGTCAAATCTCAAAATACCACATGACTTTCTAACACACAAAATGAAAACCATCTATTGTATTCAAACCACGTGTTCAGGCTAAAAGGTAATGTTAACTGGATTTCCTGAATCCAGCCTAGGAACTTTGATATCCTTCCGTGCCATATAAGGGCTTAGAAGCTGTGCCTACGGAGGATCAGACTGTCTTTTATCGGTCTGGTTTGCCCCTTATCCGGTTTTGTTCCTATGAACTTCTGTTGCAACCCCTTCTGGCAAATGAACAGAAGTTAGATTTTCTTTTCTTTCCATCATTTTATACTGATGTGGCTTGATCGGTGCCTGAGCATTTCAGGAATAAATAGATATTATGAAGCAAGAAAAGAATAAGAATAGAATTGTGAAGTTGACCTAGCTATTAGAGAGTCTTTTCCCCTATTAGTCTGGAAGAACACCTGCTTCTCTAGCATATGATGTTGGGGCCTAGCTTTGGAGGCCTGAGACACCCTGAAATATAATGCAGATAATATGAAAAAGATGCACAGCTAAGCTCCTGAAGCTCCGTGCCTGCAGATTTTCATCTCTTCCTGTTACAAAGCTGAAATGATTGCCATTCTCTTATCTGTGCAGAAGGTGCCAACGTTAATTGATGGCTGTTCTTCCTGAATTATATTCGGTCTATTGGGGAAAACCTGTAGATAATCAGCTTAGAAACAGAGTGAGTTCGAATGTAATGTCACAGATGGGCAGTGAAACTTTAATTCATGCTTTTATGATATCCAACTTGGATTACTGTAATTCTCTGCCTACAGGTCTCCTTCAGATGTCCCACTGGAAAAAGAAAAGATAGCTGTACAAGCAGGCCACCCCTGAGATTTTCTGCACACAGAGTCTGGTCAACATATACCTCTGCTTGGAGATTTTGGTTCTGGCTGCCAGTTAGGTCCGGGATTGATTGTAAGAGGTCCCAAAGATGTGGTTTTGAAACACTGCGTGAATCCAAATGAGTTTCAGGTTCCCCATTGTCCAAGCCCAATTTTGTTCAACTGTAAAAATGTTGGGTTTTCATTTGTTCAAAACTCTTATTATAAATCACTATGCCCAGAGCTTTTTTCAAGCAGTTGTGGAACATATTTTTTCTGTACAGATTCAGAATATCAGACCTGTCATTGAATTTAGATCACTGCTAAAGTGACTTGTTTAATTTGCTTCTTTCAACCATACTCTATTTTTTTGTTTCTTCTGTGGCTTTGCAAGGATTAAAAAGAAAAAAAAATGCTTTAAGATCTAAGCATTTCAATATTCAGGAAGCCTGTTTAAAATAGACATTGTTGGGGCCTCCCGGGTGGCGCAGCGGTTGAGCACTGGGTTGCGAAGCTGCCTGAGGCCTCTGCGGCGCCGGTTCGATCCCCGGCTGCTC